CTACCGGGAGCATGGTTTTACTTACGTAGAAGATCGGTAAATGTAGTATACCCTCTGTCCTAAGAAGAACTGCACTGACTATGTGTTGAGAAATGGCCAAATAGAGATAGAGTTCCTCCCCTTGCTTCGGCGTAACAAGGAGCAGAACAGAAAACAGATATGTCTTGAGCTCGGCTAAGGCTCTATCGCATTCTTCATCCCACGAAAACTTGGACTTAAGGGCGTGGAAGAAACGGCAGCAACAATCTGATGACCGACTAATGAATCTATTAAGCACAAGTGCTATCCCGGCAGTATGTTGCACGTCCTTTACTGAGTTGGGTTGCTTCAATTCTTGTATGGCTTTGATTTGGGAGGGATCCGCCTTAATGCCACGGTTGGTGACCAGAAAGCCCAAGAATTTCCCCGTCTCCACGCCGAAGGCACATTTCGACGTATTCAGATGCAGCTTGTGTTGTTTAAGAATAGCGAACATCTCCGCCAAGTCGGCTAAGTGGTTGGCCTCACATTTGCCCTTAACAACCATGTCGTCAATATAGGCCTCCATTGTTCGGCCGAGCATGAGAGCGAACATCTTCGTGACCCTTCTCTGAAAGGTCACCCCACGTTCTTCAACCCAAAGGGCATAACTCTGTAACAGAACAACCCCTTGGGCGTTGTGAAAGAGGTGACCTCCTGTTTGGGTTGGTGGCGATCTAATGGTAGCTGCAATATGCGTCCAGAAAACTGAGTCGGTTGTGCCCGGCCATAAGATCCACCAGTTGGTCAATTCTGGGCAAAAACAAACTGTCTTTGGGGCAAGCTCGATTGATCATCTGGTAGTCAACACAAATTCACCATTTCTTATTCTTCTTTGGTACCACAACCGTGTTGGAAACCCACCAAGGGTAGTGTACCTCCTAGATAGCCCTCGTTTCAAGCAAGTTTTTGACCTCTTCTGCCACTACCTCAACGTGATGAAGCACGGATCTTCGGGTTCTTTGGATGATAGGCCGGGCATCTGGAAAGACGTTGAGCTGGTGGAAAATAAAGTTTGGATCGACACTAGGTATGTCGTAAGGCATCCATGCAAACACTTCAATATTTTCCATCAAGAACTCAACCATCTCCAATCGTTCTTGGGCGATCAGGCTGGATCCCAATCGAAAGAACTTCTCCGAATCGCTCTCGTTGACCCGTACCTCCACCAAGTCTTTAATGGCCTTTTCCTCGGCCCTAGTACCCATGTCATCTAGGACACTTTGATCTTCTGGTCCTTCAATCATCTGCACGAAGCCCTTGGCAGCTCGGTTTCCGTTCATGGACATAAAACACTGTTTGGCCATGACTTGATCGCCCCGAACTTCCTTTGTCATCTTGGCAATAGAAGGGAACCTCATGACTTGGTGATGAGTCGATGCCACTACTTGCATGTCATGAAGCCATCCTTTGCCGAGGATGAGGTTGTAAGTCGAAGGCACCTTCAAAACCTAAAAATCGACTTGCTTCACGACGGACCCTATCTTGACTGGTAGGATTATATTCTCGACCGACCATTCTGGTTACGAGTTGAAGCTAACCAGCAGCGATGTTGCCAGGGCCAAATCTTTATCTTCGAGCTTGAGGGCGTTGTAATACATGATTTCGATCGAACTTCCTTGGTCGATTAAAATTCGTTTGACATCATAATCCTTGACGTGCAACGTAACGACTAGTGCATCGTTGTGTGGGGTTTGGATTCGCTCCAGGTCACTACTAAATAAAGTGAGGACATTTTTGACCTCTGTCCTGCTCTTCTTCGTAGCGGGTTGAACATATGGCACCTTTTGCATATACTCCGCCTTCTTTATCATTCTCCGGAGCTCACATACTTGCGCCGGCTCAACAATCCCATGAATCACATTGATTACACCTCGGGGGGGCGTTTCTAAAACGGCCAAGCCATTTGGCTCGACTTGAATGTGGGGCGCAGCCTTGACGCCTCCGTTAATATAATGGTCCAGGTGGTCGGCCGCTACTAACTCTTCCAAATGTTACTTCAAGGAGACACAATCTTCAGTGCGGTGTCTGCGCCAATCATGGTAGGTATAACGATACCTCGGGTTGAAGCTTTGTTGTGCATCATCTAACTTAGCCGACTACCAAACGTATGCCTCGTCACGGATCTCGCTAAGGATGCAGTAGATTAGAATTTTAAAAACCGTGGTGATACCCGTTCAAGCGTTCAACTTTCTCTTTGCATCTTCCGCGACATCATGAGGGTAGTCAGCTTAGTTGTTGCGACGACCTTTAACCCGGTTGTTGAGGTTAGCACCAAGGTCAGGTTTCCTTCGCGGTTGTTCAGATGGTTTGCCTTATGTCCAACTGCGTGAACTTTCTCAGCCACCTTTTTGTCCGCCGCTACCGGATTCACCTTCGCAGTAGCCACGGTCGCATCATCCTCAACTCGGATGTGCTCGTTAACAGCTCCATGGTTGTTGGTTGATTCATAGTGAGTGAATCTCGCTGCCTATGCCTGACTGGGAGACTGCGCTTGTACTGGGTGATTGCCAAGTTGGTCAGGCAATCAAAAACGTCATTGAACGCCTCCCCAATATTTAGCGTTGTACGCCTTGAGTGAGCAGGTGGTCAACTTCCTCGGGCATTTTGGTGTTGGTTTTGAATCGGGTCACGAATGTCTCCGCCAATTGCTGCCACCTTTCAATACTTTCCTCCGGTAGCCTCTCAAATTATTTCAGGCCCAACTCGCCCAAACTCAATGGGAAAATAAGGCACATAAGTGCATCATTTTGCCTGTAGCCAGCCATAACTTGCCGGAAATGGCTCACGTGCATGTATAGATCAGTTTTTCTGTCGTAGAGCATAAACTTGGGCTGGTAGAAGCCCGCAGGAAGCGATGTGGTTTCTATCTTAAGGGAAAAATGGCTGGCGCTTAGCCTCGCCAAATCTCTGTCCAAAGGCAAGTGTGCAGCTGGGCGTGGTGGCGACATTACGACTTTTTCACTAGCACGACCTCCACAAGACAGCCACTGCAATGCCAGCACCCTTTGTGACTTCTACCAGCGCGTTTGCTCTTCCAGGACATCCCTAAAATCCTTCGAACGGGCGGAGTAAGAATATCTCGACGTCATCGACGGACATAAGGGTCGATAACTGCTATCTCATGCACAAAACTTTTTCGCCGGCTAGTTTGAGTCACCAACCCCATAGTTTCTGGTGATGGAAATAGAGGAGGCCCTCGGCTGCCTGAGCGATGGGATAGGGTGCGCTCACTGTGGTTACCCACACCAGCAACACCCTTCACTTTGACTTGCCACTTCAGCGCCTTCATCTCCGCCGCCATCCTTCGAATGATGGTGTCTTGGTCTTTCAACTTATGCTCCAGGGGTTAAGCGTGTGACTCTCTTTACTGCCGGTGCCCGTCTGGACTCTGTGAGTGGTCTGTACTCCTTGCGTACTTATTTTACGTATCTCTAGGGAGCCCTCTGGAGGAAGTCTCCAAGCCAGCCATGGTCGGGATGGCGGGGGGACCATCTCTCTTCCGGATGAACTCCGGAGTAATGCCATCGATGGCAGACAGTGAAATGTTGTTGTTATTCACCATTTAAGATGATCGAACGAGCTTAAAAGACAAGGTTTTGTCTATCAAACTTTCCCACAGACGGCGTCAATTGTACGGGGAGCAAATATTCTCTTGCTTTCGTACTCCTCGTTGTCCAAGCTCTTCGTTGCGTCGAATGACATTATTTAACCTGAGAACACAACGATGGTGAGCTACCCGGCGGGTGGTTGCCAGAAAACCGCTCCGACGATCAAGTTAGCACACACAGAGAGAAAGAGAGGGGACAAAGTGGTAAGTAAGCTCTGATTAGAAGATGTTCCAGACCTATGTATGAAGGCGCAGTATTTTTTATATAGTTTCTGCGCGTGCCTCTGCGTCCATTCCCCTCTGGATGCGTGGACTTGCTCTCATCTTACGTTCTTCCATGTATCAACACTAATACAACTAAACACCAAATGATGAAACCGCCAAACGGTATTGACGCATATGGACAGCAGAATCTTCTTCCTGCAGTCCAGTCACACCGCGTAGTACTTCCCACTGAGCTATGCTTAGTGCGGCGCCACACCATCACCTTATGACCGTGTTACTTGTTTGGTCTCATCGGCGATTCTTGATCGTGGGCTCAACCAAGCTCCATGGTCACGACCGAGCTTCTGCCCGATCGAACCTGATCTTTCGAGGACTAATCCCTTCCAACTTAACAGAGCACACATCTCTACCGGGCTAGCAGCCCAAAGTTGTCCCAACTTGACCGGATTGAGCCCTTGGTCCAGCGCGCACCCAATGTCTAACCGAGCAAGGACCCTAACTCTGACCCAAATTAGCTCGACTCACTGTTAGGTCATAAACCTCCCTTTCAGTGTTATAATGTCACTTGACGTGGATCATTTCACTACAAGAAATTACATATTTGTCGACCACTTTTGTTGACTGAAAATATTTTGGTCACAAAAAAATGACATTTGTCGACCAAAAAAAAAATTTAGTAGCTAAAAATTGATGTTTTTTCCAACTAAAGTAATGTTGTTGCAAAAAAGTGAATTTTTGCGACCAATTTAAAATATTAGTCACCAAAAATATAGGCAGGAGATCAAATTGGGCAGGAACAGTATAATTTTTAAGCAACTAATACAATTTAGTTGCAAATATCAAAATGATGTCATTTTGATATCTAAATGCATTGACAAATAATGGCCGACCAAATTTAGTCACCAATTAACGGTGATATTTTTATATGGTTACTCGTTGGCGACCAAACATTTTGTCAGAAAATGTAAATTTTTAGCAACCAAAAAAAATAGTAATCGTCGTATATTTATTTTTTCCGACCAAAAAGAATTAGTCGTCGAATTAGTTCTTTTGGCGACTAATATATTAGTTGCGGTTGATTGAGATTTGGCTACCAAAAAATTTAGACGTTACATACAAAGTTTTTGCGACAGAAGACGAATTTCGTCGCTGAAGGTGAAATTTTTTTAGAGGGAAATCACCGCCCCCCTTCTCTGTTTACAACAATCTGTTCAAACCTCTCACACAGATTCTCCTCCACCACCAAACCTCACCCCACCTCACCTCTCCGCCGACACCATCACCGGCGTAGATCACCACGGCCACCGCCACCACGGCCACCGCCACCACCGCAGATCGTCACTGCCGTCGATGATCGTCCTCCGTCCTCCGCTGGTCCCTCTCTCTCTCTCTCTCTCTCTCTCTCTCTCATAAACACCCACTGTCGTCGATGATCCTCCTCCTCCTCCGTTGGTGCCTCCGCCGGATCCAAGAAGATGGTCAAGATCTGAATCAAATTTGAGTCCTAGGTCGAGATCTGACCGTTGTGAGCGATCCACTTTTTCGGCACAGTACACTTGGCGCACAGTTTTTCTAATCTATCCCTAGTTGCGTACTGTCCACTTCCTCTTCCCCCATTCTTCTTCTCTCGCAAACCCCGACAACACCCTGTAAATATTGTCAATTTCATATCTGAAATTAGGGTTTCTTTTTTGACAATTCAACCTATTTCTTCTCATTCTGTTCTTCAATTTCAACTACAAGCCCAAATTAGGCAACTTTTTGTGCCCAAAACAAAAAGAAAGAGGTATTTTTTTAAAAAAATTATTGATTGGGGATTATCTGCTTATTTGCTGTTTGATTTCTTCGAGACTTTGTGGAAGATTCGCTATAGGAGATAAGAATTTTGAGTTTTGTTGTTTTTGACATTTGATTCCATAGAAAAAGGCGAACTTGGGTCATTTTGTGTATAGAGATTAGAGTATTTTTTAGGGAAATTTGTGTTTGTTGTGAGTTATGATTGAGGGTTTTATTTTATTTTATTTTTTTTTTGTTTCGATTTGATGCTGTTAAGTGCAATAATTTGATGATTCAGAGCTTGGTTTAATTGTTTGGGATAAAATTTTTGTGTGTTCTTGAGGTGTGATACAGGGGAGCTGTTTTTCTTAGAATTTGATTATGTTGAAGAAGAAAAATTGTTCATTTAAGGGTTGGAATTAGGTTTTTGGGGATTATGTTTTTGTGTTCTTTGGGGTAAGACAAATTGGTATTGCTCTTCTTTTTTGGTCTTTAGAGCTGTTTTTGTGTTCATTAAAATATTAAGGCAATAACTTATTGGTGGTATAAGATACATATCAAGGGTTGGGCAGGAATAAAAATTTCTGCTGTGGAGGTGGTTGAAAGGAAATCAGAATAGCAATCTTGTTTAGCCCAGGAATCCGGAGATGGGGTGATTCTTGTTCTTATATCTACTTGCTCGAAAGAAAAATGAAGTCTGTCCAAGAGGTAAGTTCAACCTAATGACGACTGTTCAAAATGCCAGTTCAGATTCAGACTAACTTGTTGCCATTGTTATAGCGTCATCTCTTCAGCGGTTTATCTTCAACTTCTGAGATATACTTAAGTTCAATTTTGATCTTTCTGGAGAAGCCGGCTCTAGCAGCTCCATGTTTTGCTCACAGGGATATTGTCACTAGACGATACCTTCACACCTTCTTACCTCTCCTATAAATATTTCCTAATTATCAAGTGTTTTCTCAATCATGCTCTTTTATTTTTCTCTATCTCAGAACTTATAGGCATGATGTGTGTAAAGGGTTCCATCTTGTTTTGAAACAAAACCTTAAGAAGGTCGCACTAAAATAGAACCTGATGTTGTCCATGGTCAAAGGAAAGTATATCTTAGTTTTCTTCTGAATTTATAGCTACAATTCCAGTTTCCCATCCCATCTTGGTAGAATCTACACCCTGTATATAACTTCTTTGATGATTTGTTTTTTGTCTAGATTAAACTAAATTTGTACGTATTTGTCTTTAGTTTTTGATAAGTTCATTGGAATTTGTTTGTTTATCATTATATATTGATTGGATGTTGTTATGGACAAACACAATAATGGTGATACTCCAATGTCTAAAAATATGGGTTCCATTCACAAGGTCTAAGTTGCAGAAGTGCTTCTTTTATCGCTACCGAGTGATTGTGCTACTAACTCCTTGTACTAAACTGTTTTATTGCTGGCTACCTTTTGAACTCTTTATCTCAAACTATGTACTTTCCTGATTGATATACTCACTTTTTGAGGTATGGACATCATGACTGTTGCTTTTGTTTTAGGTTTCTAGTCACTATACCTTAAGCCAATGGTTTTCATCATATGATCTGTTAGAAAATTCTCATTCATGGGTAACTTTTAATTAAGTAGGATGTTCCAAGAGCTGGAGTAAAAGAAAATTTATTTAAGTGAAGCACATTGAATCTGAGGGTAATGTCGATTCCCTCATTAGCTTTGTACAGGCTGGAAACTTGAAGGGGAAAATAACCAGGTACAGTTGAAAATATAAATGCTGAATTTTTTTTCCTTATTGTCATAAATGTATCAACTTGTGTCTTGTATTTAGCCTATCATTTTTGTGCATTAGTGTTTCTCTTAATTCTAGAGTTTCCATATAAAATGAGCCTTCACTAGCCTTCACTGGATTGTTCTTTGAGGAAAACGGCCCCATTAAGCTTGTAGTGGACAAGTATAACATAAGTGGTGACTGGTTGCCATGTGTCAAAATATTAGTTGTTGGACTTCGATGACTGGAAGGATAAGTTTGTGGTATCATGTAGAGGAGTATGTTCCAGGTATCTCAATTGTATGAGGTCTCTTGTCCATTAAGCTAGTAATGTCATCAATTAGCACTAGGTGTATTGTGGTTTAGACCATATAGCATCAATGGTGCCTGTTCCTTAAACTGTGATTCCTACTATTTTCATAAATTCAAGCCATTGCAAGAGACCTGAACCCCAAGCTTTAGAGCTTGTTGGAGCAATAATTGTGCCTTCAAGCTGAAAAGTGAAAATACATGATTGATATGCCTCAGAAACCATACTAGTTTTAGAGTCACATTTTTAGGGATTTCTAAACAGCTCTAAACCAGACTAATGGGCTTTTGGGGATTATTTTTTAATAAGGAGTCAGTCCTAGTCCTGGTAATGGTAGCTAAACTTTGATTGCCTAATCATTTTAATGTTTTTGATAAAAATTTGTGTTATCCCTTTGGTTGGTTGTAGGTCAACCGCATTCTTCAAGATGTTCAATTTAAAGACCAGAAGCAGTTTAAGCAGTTTGTTTCCCAAAGCAAGGCTAGAATGGAGGTATATTTTTTGCAGTCTTTGAACAAATTGTCATCAAAAGTGAACTTTATTAATTATTAATTAATTTATTCCGTGAGTTGTTTTATTTTCAGGAGTGATTAAGAGGCAGTGGTGATGATATTGCTGCCGCAAGGATGGGTGCAAAGTTAAATGTTGCAGGGTGGATTTCTAAACAAATGGGTGGCATTAGGTTAGCTATCTGGACTTTATGTATTGATTTAAATTGCTTGTTTTCACAATACAGTCGTGCAACCACCTTAAGTCTCAAGTCTGCAGTTAAATTCTGTTTTGGTTTTTGTTGTTTTTAGATTAGTTTAATTGTTTTGGTTATTATGCTAAGCCCCAAATAAAAAAGACTACAATATGGCACCAAACTTGTCTCAAAAAGAGTTATAATGTTTTACTTCTAAAACAATGGTTGAAAGAGACAAGAAAAGCTTTATATATATATATATATATATATTTTTTTTTTAATTTGATGATGATAAGATCAATAAACAACGAGTAGAAGAGATGCAAGGTAAATAAGAGCCAAAAAAGGGATAGTAGTACGAAATATTTTATCATCTGCTATGTGGAGGATTGTATAGTACTAACAAAATGAGAGTCTCACCAACCCAAAATTGCAATAAATTCTCTTAACTTGTTAAGGAAGGACCGACAATGTTTACCAAGCTTTATCACAAACAAAAATGCCGCAGAAAACTAAGGACCGTTTTGAAAAATGATCTAGGTTGGTTTTTCTTCATACTCACACATGCAAAAATATATATATATATATATATAAAGCACTAGGAACTCCTTGATTTCTGTAAATTCATAGAACTCTAGCAATGCATAAGTTGATTAATGATAGTCAGGTGAAGAAAAAATATTTCATTAGAAGCTTTGGATTTTTGCAAGCTGAAAAATATTTAATAAAAAAATATTTCATTAGTCAGGTGAAAAAATATTTCATTAGGAAATCCTGTTTGGTGCAGCCTATGGGACTTTGTTTATAGCTTTTTCTTTTTTATTTTAGAAATCAGTGTCAAAACTTTTGTAGGAAGTATCCTTGTTACCACAGTTAACAAGCTGCTGCTGTTAGAACTTTTGTAGAAAATCTCCTTGTTACCACAGACAAAGGTATGTCCAAGAAGAAAAGAAATTTTTGTTTTTCCACTTGTGTGATTAGTTTATTTTATAGAAACTCCTCACTATTATATTTGATCAAATATTAGGTGGAAAGCTATCCTTAATTTTAATACGACTTCAATTACCAATTAGGTGCCCATTTTATGTTTCTTTTTTCTCCTTTTCTTTGGTTGGAACTTTTTAATTATTTTGTTTAAATCAAAAGTTCTTGCTAATTTAATCCACATGACACAAAGAAACCAAGATCAAAAGTTTTTCTCATAATTATATCTTATCTAATATTAAGTGGAAAGCTATCTTTAATTCTTAATATGATTTCAGATACTCATTATGTCTTTTAATTTTGTCCTTTTCTTTAGTTTGGTCTTCTTATTAATTTGTTTATATTAAAAGATTTCGCTAATTTATTCCACATGGAACACAAAGGAACCAAGATAAAAATGATCTCCATGATATAGGTTTGTTGAGATTGGAAGGACTTGAATTTTGAATCAGCAAATGCTATATGGTATATATAATGAAACCAAAAAAAAAAAAAAAATTGTTTCTGTTTTGATTTATGAAGTGTAGACGTACTCAATTCAAAAAATAATCAATTCCCAATATTATTGGTTCTCCAACCTTATTTCACCAATCTACTTGTATGTTTCCCACTTGTTCAGTGTTTTCCATGTCTTTTGCATTTCCAATATTGATAATAATGCCTATTTTATGATCATGTAAATATATCTTCAAAGACCGTCATCGTATTCTTATAATATTTTCCCTTCTCTTCTTTATGTATTAATTTGGTCTCCTCTCTTATAATATTTTCCCTTCTCTTCTTTATGTATTAATTTGGTCTCCTCACTCTCTCTCTCTCTCTCTCTCTCTCTGTTTGTTTTTTTTTAAATAATTGCAGAACCTGATAATGCGACATGTGAATCACTCTGCTAGTGATCTGATTGATCTCTTGCAAGGGCTTTTGCGATATGACCAAGCAGAGCAGCTCAAAGCAAAGGAAGCTCTTAGACATTCCTACTTGAGAAGGTGTGACTTTACAAATGAACACACGACGTTTTGGTTATGTTCTTATTATACTGTTTTACTTTTTGAACCTAAATTATTATAGTGAGTGGCCAAGAATCGACAGTTCATGAAATGCAAAATTTAGGGAAGTAGCACTTCAATTTTTCTATAAATATATATATATATATATATATTTTTAATTTTTATCTATTAGATTGGATATATGTAGCAATTGTTGTGAAAATTATAGTGTTGTTTTTCTTATAAATCAGTGGTGATATGTGGCCTTGACTAGGTAGTGGTAATTGTATAAATAAAGAAGTTGAAATAAATAAACTAAATTTATTGCAAAATGGTTTGGATTGCATATTATATAAGATAGAACCCAGGCTTTTTGGAAAACAGCAATCTAGCTTTTTTGTTCATCTATTAGGTCATTGTAGTATTGATTTTATCTTTTGTTTATCCTTCCTGGTTGATTACAGCACGGTCAAGTCTCTTGAAGGCTTCAATTTTAGTTGTTGGAACTGGAACCGGAGGGTTGGGATCACCTGCTCTGTTGTACCTTGTTGCATGTGGTATTTGTGAAGGATGTTGCACTCATCCCATGGAATGAGTGGCTCCATTGAGTTTTATGTAGAATATGAAGGTCCAAACCTTCATTCTAGGCAGCATCATTACAAATAGTAGCATTTATAATTGAAGAATATTTTGCTTTCTATTGCTTTATACCTCCCCCCCACCCTCCTTATCCAGCTTGGGAGATCTTAGAGTGAGAAAATCAATGGAACTGCCTGTAGGTATTGATTGTAGAAACCATGATGGAATGAACTTTTAAACTTGAGAACTTTAATTTTTTTCACCATATATAATCTGGTTGATTCCCAAGTACTAGGGAACATGGTTATCTGAGGGAGAGACATAAGAAGTAACTTATATGCATAATTTCTTAAACAAAACTTGGACAAACCCTATAATCCCTCAGTTAATATCTGCAGTTGAGACATTGGTTTATGGCCCCTAATATTTGCACAACTTGGAGAACTTTATATTTTGTATTTATGTCAAATCCCAAATGACATTTACTCATGTTACTTCAGGTTGGCTACACAATTTTACGTCTTGTCATTCTGTTCAAATTTTGGTATCTGCTATTGTTATAGAAAACATACACTGCCACGTATTTGATAAATAAGATTATGTAGTTTATCCATACATCATATTTTTTAGTGAGATGGGAGGTATGTTTCTTAATCTGATTAATGATTTATCTTCTTTATCATCCTATCTAATGTGTTTTTTTCTTCTATAACAGTTCATTATTTTGTGGTGTTGCGAGCTTCATTTAACTATTTTATTGTCTTTTCTAGTTGTAATTTCATTACATTGGTTTTTCTTATCTATTTGAATTAGGTGACTGGTTGGGTGGTTGAATACCAAGATAATCTGGTTAGCCTTGGTGTTGATGAGTCCTTAGCTCAAGTTTGTTCCGAGAGTGGTGCAATGGATCCCCTTATGAATGCATATGTTGAAAGAATACAAGCTACAACAATGGTAATCATAATTTTTCTGATAGTTTTATTGGTTTGTTACTTGGTTTATAACATTGCTTAGATCACATGTCTTTCCTATGCCATTTGCTGTCACTATTTTCTAGAAATGGTACTTGAATATCCTTGAAGCTGAAAAGGTACAACCACCAAAGAAAACAGACGATGGGAAGCTATATACACCTGCTACTTTTGATTTGTTTAGGATCTTTGGCGAGCAAGTGCAAATTGCTCGTGAAAATAGCATCGATGTCATGCTATACAGAATTGCTTTGTCCACTATTCAGGTAAGTTCAGTTTTACTAGTTTTACTTAAATTATATAACTTATTCAATTCTTGACATTCTTTTTCTTTTTCTTTGGTATAGACGGATGAATTCATACACGAAGCTAAATCGTATAGGACTAATTGGCGCTATAAGTATTTTTTGAAGTATTATATATTTTTGAATAAATGTGTATGGAAAATATTTCGATAAACTAGTAGTTATATTTTTTGATAGACCAGTAGTTACATTTTTGGATGGGTGTGTATGGAAAATATTTGAGTAGACTAGTTATATTTTTTGATAGATGCGCATGGATAAAAATTTAAATTGGAGGAATATGTACTTTGGAATTTCTTGTAGATGGAAACTTATAATAGTTAACTTTTATTAAACTGGTTCAAGATTAGATGATTTATGTATTTCATTGAATGTTCATGATTCAAATACTTTTTTGGTATGAATAATTCTTTTTAATTACAGATAATATTAAATGGATTGGATGGAATATTTGTCTTCAATTACAAGTTTATTTTGTTGGATGTTGGCCACCAAATTGTGGTTTTGTCGACCAAAATGTTGGTAAGCAAAATCGTACATTTGGCGACTAAATAATTAGTCGGTAAACTTTTGACAACCAAAGAATTTGGTAGCGAATAGGTCTATTGCCGACTAAATTTTTAGTCGCGTAAACATTACTTTTGGCGACTAATATGTTTGGTCGTGGAATGTGACTTTTGGCAACTAATCTATTGGTCGTGGATTGCGACTTTTGGCGACTAAAATGTTTGGTCGTGAAATGTGACAATTGGCGATTAACATGTTTGGTCGGGAATATGTCACTTTTCGCGACTAAAGTGTTTTAGCGACTAAATGGATTTGTCGCAGTAATGATATATTTAGAGACTAAAAATTTAGTCGGCAAATTCAACTTTTTCCTGACTAACAAAAGTTTTGATTGCTAATTACTTTTGCCGACCCTTAATTGGCGACCAAAGTGGCGATCAAAAAAATTGGTCCTGAATAACTTTTGTCAACTAAAAATAGACTTTTGCCGACCAAATTTTTAGTCGGTAAAAGTGCGATTTCCTGTAGCATTTGTTTGGTCTTTGTTTATCTTTGCATGTTTTCAAGGATGGATCCAAAATTTTCATATAAGGGGCGCGAATATCTATATATTAACAAAAATTTTAAAAAGAAAGTATGAATTATAATCAATTTCTATTAATATAAAAAGTGAAAATAAGATGAAAATATATATAAATAGCATATTCTTTGTATTTACATTTAGTTGTAAAAGATAACAATTATAAAATAATCTATGTACTAAAGTGAGGTATCTTTAGTTGTAGTACTCGACACTATTTCATGTCAATAAAATGTCTAATAAAATCGATATTAAAATATTGTATAATGTCTTTTTCAATTAACATAATCAAGTACATTATTTTGTTCTTTACATACGAAGGCTTAATACTAGTTACAAGAAATTTCTTTTTTAATTATATTTTGTTCATTTATTTTAATATTTTTTATTTTGATTCCATATTTCATAGATATAGAATGGCAAACACTTAAAACTTTTTTAAAACAACAATGATTCATCCCACTAAAAATATCACTACTAATAGCACTAATGCATTAAAAAAGTAAAAAAAAAAAAAAAACACAACTCCAAGACCAAAACATCACATCATTAATGACGGGACCCACTGCCACCTAATTAGTGGGAGCACTAATTAGTGCTCCCAAGCATTTTTCTTTTTAAAAATCTAGAGAGCATGACTCCTTAAAATTTGTTAAAGAAGAAAAACTTAAAAGTGGTGACCTCTATAATTTGTAAATAATTATAACTAATATTATTATAATAAATGATATTTTTAAACCCCCTCTAAGTCCATCCTTACATGTTTTATAATGCAATGTGTAAAGTAAATTAAAAAGTGTGTAAGGTTTTATAATGTAATGTGTAACGTTTTACCATGTCACTTTAAATCACAAAAGTTAATTGATATATAAAAGGATAAATTACACTAATAGTCCCTATATTTTATCTCTTGTGTCATTTTGGTCACTGTATTTTCAATTTGCTCGATTTTGAACCTCAATTTTTAATTTCGTTTCATTTTGGTCCAATCAATAACTTTTGTTAAAAAATTTAACAGAAAATAATCATGTGCACAACATGTGATCAATTTTCAAGGGCAAAACAGACATTTCAATCCTAATCCTTTCCCATTCCATCTCTGCAACACCCACCACCTGTGCCCTTCCTCCTCCTCCTCCTCCTCTGTCTATCGTCAACTCCACTCCACCACCGCCACTGTTAAACACGACTACCATTATCTGCCACCAAACAACACCACCAATCACAAATCAAAATCGAAGTGAATCAAAATAAAAAGAACAAAGATAAGGGTTTTGCAGTTTGACGTCGTTGATTTCAATGTTTTTTCATTCGTCGCTCTTGGATGATCGCGATCGCGATAGCAATCACAATTTACAGAGCTCACACAGTGTGGGTTTCTCTATTGCTAGATCTGTTCACCTTCTCCTTCCAATGGAGATAACACCGAGTCAACTATTTCCAATGGAGATAACATCAGTCTAGTGCTTGGTTGAGCCACCAAACCTAACTTCTAGAGGCCTCGAAGCCTCCTCTTCAACCAAACCGAGTTCCCACAAGTCTTCATTCTAGGTCTCCCCACCATAACCCAATCACCATCTGCCATTACTGGACCCAAATAAAAAAAACTCAAAAACAGAAAAGAGTAAAGAGAATGGAGAAGAGAGTGAAACAAATGAGGTAGAAGAATGGAGAAGGAAAAGAGTAGGCAATGTGGATTGGAGATGAAGAGATGACAGCGAAAAAGTGGCCATGGAGAGTGAGGGAGGCATGGGCATGGCACAGAAACAATTAGAAGAGAAGTACCCCTCTTTGTACCTTCCTCTACCCCCACCAAGCTCTCTGCTTCGTTCCTTAACAGCAGCAGTAGCGACAACAACCCTCATGTGCCTCTTCCTTCTCTCTCTCTTCCTTTGGTTAGACGGGTGGACTAAGGAGATAGAGAAAAAATTAGGAGCTGAACGGGGACGATCTATTCAACAAACTGGTAATCTGGGTAGCGAATGGTACTAGGTTTGATGGGGGTAGAGGTAGATGGTGTTGATGTTGGGTTTGACTATGGATGATTTTTGGTAGTACAGGAAGGCAATGGTGGTGGATGTGTTGCAGAGAGTCCAAGAGGAAGAAGATGGTGAAACAAGGATAGGGTAGTGCAATGTCCATATTGCCCTTGAAAAAGGGTCATGTGCATTTCACGTGTTTGTTTTCCGTCAATAATTTTAACAGGTGTTAACAATTGGATTAAAATGATACAAAATTAAAAATTGATGGTTAAAATCGAGCAAATTAAAAATATAGGGACTATTAGTGTAATTTGTCCTATATAAAAAGATAAAAGGAGTTGTTTATTTTGTATTGTAAAAGTTAGTTACAAAAAACAAAAACAAAAAGCAAATAAAATTAAAACATTAGGCTCCGTTTGGTAAGCCTCTCAAATTATAGTTCCATTCATTAATTTGAGTGTGTTGTTTGTTTTAAGTTTTCAAATCATAATTCTATACACATTTCTCAAAACTCAATTCAAAACGTAATCATTACTTTTCAAAACTTATAACCAAACACATAATTCAAAACTTTTTTCAAAACTCAATTCAAATCAATATTTTAATTTTTTAAATATTTTAAATATTTGAATATTTTAAAAATATTTTAATTTGGTTAAGATTTTAAATATTTTAATATTTAAACATGTTACGATTTTTTTAATTTTTTAATTTTTTTGAATATTGTTAAATATTTTAATTTCAAAATATTACGATTTTAATTTTTTAAATTTTAAAATATTTTATAAAAATAAATTCAAACTTTATTTTATAAAAATATTTTTAAATATTTTAATTTTTTTGTTATGTATTTGGTTACGATTTGAGTGTAGAGTTGTGAAAGTAGTATGGAGTTTCGAATTATGTGTTTAGTCATGAGTTTTAAAAATAACTTCTTAATTTAGTTTTGTTTTATGTGTTTAGTTATGATTTGAGTGTAGAGTTGTTTTTAAATTTAAAATAATAACATTTTAAATTATTTAAATTTTTTGAATATTTAAATTATTTAAATTTTTACGATTTAAATTTTTTGAATATTTATTTTAATTTTTTACTTATTAAATTTTTTAGATTATTTAAATTATTTAAATATTTATGATTTAAATTTTTTGAATATTTATTTTGAAAAAAAAATTATTTCCTTTGTAGTATTTTCAATTAAAAAATTGATTAATGTTATTTTCTGTTAATAATAAATTTTTTGAATTGAATTTTAAAAAGAATTTGGTTATGAGTGTTGATCAGAATTTTCAATAGTGTGAAAGTAGTGTGTTTTGTTATGAGTTATAACAATTTGAATTAAGTTTTGAAAACTCTTTCCAAAACTCATAACCAAACAAATTTTCTTACTTCACATGTCAAATCAAACTTTCAAAACTCAATTTCACACTTAATTCAAAACTCAATTCAGCACTCTATTCAAAAACCATAATCAAACAAATTTTCTACACTCAAATCATAATTCCACAACTCACAAACTCAAAATACAACTCATACTCTCAAATCATATTTACAAAACTCTACCAAACGCAACCTTAATCTTTCAACTTAATTACAGTAGCCAAAGCCTACGTGGTACTATAGCCCATGCGCTGGCCATACATATGTATATTAACTAGGCCTAATTTAATTAGTTATCAATTTTTTTAAGAATTTAATCTATAGAGGGAGGTTATGGGTTCAACTTAATACTTTACAAAGGGTAAAAAAAACTAATTTACATAGATACACTAATTTAACAATTAACAACTTACTCTCGCCGATGATAAAACAAAACCAAACAAAAACAAAATCAAAAACAAAAAAACAATACAAAACAAACTAGCCATACATATACAAGCGGCCACTTTGGGGTGACTTTAACAGAATCAAAAGGTTACCATCTTCTTGTGAATTGATGTGGGACTAAGGTTAAGTTTGGCATCTACTAAATAATATAAAAAGTCAAAAAGTCACTATCCTATTTAAGTCATATTACCTTATTTAAATCATATCATTTCTCTAACATATCACATCAAACCTAACCCAAACCCAACTCATATAAACTAATAAGTCAAAAAGTATACTCTTTTAAAACATCTTAAACCAACCATAAATGAATAATTTTATGCTTCTTTTATAAAGGGAAATTATCAATTAGTGATAATCTTTAAAATTATTATAGATAATGAATATTAATATTAATCAAATTTTGATAATATTTTTACTTAATTTCACTGACAAGTTATTTCTGCATTTTAT